GACTCCTCTCAGTGCGCCGTTGCAAAGGAATAGTTTTGCGCTTGCCGAGGAGGCAAAGCAGATGCCTTGTAAGCACATTACCATTCTCAGTGCAATTCTTCCTTGGCTGGAATTGCACAATTCTTGCCCGGTTTGTCGCTATGAATTACCTACTGAGGATGCTGATTATGAGCACCGCACTCGTGCTAATCGAACTTCTGCTCAAAATGTCTCGGGCTCCACTGATGCTGTTAACGCTGTTGCGGATGGAAATGCTGGTAACAGAGACAACCCTGAAACGCCCAGGTCGGTGGAGAGGAGGTTTAGGATTTCTCTGCCGTGGCCATTCAGGTCGTCATTCGGTTCTGGTGCAGAAACTAGCAACAGCGGCACATCCGGCGGTGATGCGGACACAAACCCTGGAAGTCGAGGCTCAGAGCCCAGACATGAAGATCTTGATTGAAGAATACTGGTATTGCATTATGTCGCAGCATACGTATTTCTATCTTTTATGGTTTAGAAACTGTATTTTGCTATTAGTATTGCGTGTTTCTTTTTCCCTTTAACACTCTGCTTGCAGATACAGTTTTGTTCTTTATTATGCTAATCTTTTAGTAGGGCAATGGTTTATATTGTTTATCAATCTGTTCGTACATGGAAAGTGTCAATCATGTTAAACCAGTGGACTCGTGAAGACTTGGAAGTGATGCATAAACTGGAATTCTTTATGCAAGCTTCATGAGACAGTGTATTGTTTGCAACTTTGCATATCTAGCTAGGCATATTACCTAGATTTCCCAATGTGCAATCTGGACGTTTATCTCTATGCTAGTCATCAAGGAAAGAAATCTGTTGAATTCATGTTGTGCAACAATTAGACTGTCTAATGTAATAATTTTTTTGGTAAGAGAACTATTATGATTTGGTTGTGCTAGATTATCCCGAAAGATCAAACTATAATAATAGTTGAGGATCCTGTCTTCAATCTCAGGAGGTGTGTTGTAACACCTATTGGTAATTGGTTGGGTGACCATTCAATCTGTTAGCATCATCTTAAAAGTGAAAATATAGGAAGCGGCTGGCTTTACTAATAATAGTCTGGCAGACACATGGGTCCACGTGAATCATGGATCTTTTACCAAAAGCGTAAGCTGCAGTAGTGGATGTAGATCTGACTTTACTAATAAGAGTCTTGCAGATACATGGGTCATTGTGAATCATAGATCTTCTACCGAAAGCGTAAGCGGCAATAATGGATGCAGATCTCATGATTCTAACTTGAGTTATGCATCCGACACTATCATAGTTGGCTGGATTTACCACATTTTCTAAAGTTTGAATTTAGGAACTCTCTCTGATGACAGTATTAATTTTTTTATGTTCAAATTAAGAGATTTTCATATTAAGTACCATGAACTAAGATGTGTTTGGGTAACCTTACTGATTTTGCCGGAAGAGGTTTGTTTGTCCTTAAAAGGAAA